TTCCCTCCAGGAAAGGTGGCAAATGATCAAGCAGCAATGTTACAAATACTAATTTTCATGGTTAAATACTCTTGATTTCTGTTCATCATAGTGAAATATAAGTGTGCAGAGTCGATGAATGTGTTCTCTGTAGCTTCTCTTTGAAGGAAAAAAAGAGTTTGACAGTAATAGAAAGAGACTAATCCATGCCCTGCAGACAAACATCCAATTATTAACTAATAATGAATTACATAACTATGTAAAAGTAACTACTTATGTACAGAGCAGGGACTATAATTGGGCTAAAAGCTTTGAAGGTCCCTTTAGCTACTGTAGGATTTGGGGCAACTGATGGTTACTAGGTAAGTCATGCTTTGTTCAGCAGAAAGTGATGTTAAATGTACTGATATATAGCCAGCTGATTACAAAGAACATTTTGGTTTTTATTTTCAGCTCTGCCACTAATTCTTTTTTTAATGCAGTGGATATAACTGCTTTCATGGTGTTACTTGCAGAGACACTGTTGAAGTTTACTTTCTACTTCCCATGCTTCCTCTGGTCATCTTTTTCACCTCTTGTTTTTAGCAGCTTGTTTTAGCCCAGGGTTGTATAGCCTTGATTAATTTCAACTTCGAGTGACTCAGAAGGGAGTGGAGGATGTGCTTAGCACTTAAAAAATCATTGATATTTTGAAACATAACTGCTGCCCCCCTCCATAAAGTTTTAGTGTGGGGTTTGTTTTTTTCCCCTCTCATGGTATTTTCTCCAACAACAGAAGACTCTGTGAGTCTTCGGTTACATCTGCATTCTCTCCCAGCTTTCTCCTTTCATTTCCAATAACCTTTGTTGATTTCTTACAGGGAAACTTGAGAGCAGAAATCTGAAATGGTTTCTTTTCTTGTCCTAGATTCTTTGGGAAGAAGAGAGAAAGGAAAAAGGGTTGACCAAGAAACAGTCATTTATAGATCTTGGATGTGGAAATGGTCTACTGGTTCATATTCTAAATAATGAAGGGGTAAATAGAGTACTTTTACAAATAATGTGATAGTCAGTATTCTTGTTATACTTCCCTTTTATCTGGCATGCAAATAGACAAAATTCAGTTAATTCATCTAAAATAGGATTTTGTCACTCTAGTTACCAGTAAAAAAATCCTATCACAGCTTTAGAAAACTTTCACTTATTTATCTATTTTTATTAGTGCAATTCATTTCAATTCAAGGCTATTTTTCTGAGGTAAGAGACTAAGGATGGGGGGAAGTAATGGTGTAATTTAGTTATGCAGTAGACAAAGTTAAAAAAGGAATGGGGAGTCTTAACATAGAGATTCTCTCTCACAAGATCCATTAAATGAGGTGTTTTTTATGAACTTAATTTTATTGAAGTGGAATTATATTTGTTGTGTTCTGAAAATTTTTATCTTAAAAAAAATCCTGGGATCTGTTAATTGTGAAAATGCCTAATGACGTACTGTGCCTTTGGGAGTAAAAATGTGGAAACAGCAAAATTCAGTTTTTTGACGCATAGTTTCTGAAACGGCAAGAAAAGACCAGTGAGACTGAACAAAACCCAGTGAAGTTGGGTTTGTTTGTTTCAGAAAATTGCATTTTCCACTTTTGGGAGAACATGGTAAAATTTCTAGAGGAAATTAGTATTTCCCATTAGATTAATAGGTGTCATTGGGTGGGACAAAAGTCCAAGTTCTAACACTAACCTTGCATGACCATAAAAATTTGATCTAAGACAAGGTGCTATTTTCCCTGTAGACATTTCTTTTTGTACATCGTTAGGTCATCACTGCTGTAGCACTGTCAAACAGTGTTGACTGTCAAAAAATCGTGTGATTGTTCTATGAGACTTTTTTAGTGACTGATTTTGGTTAGTTCTGCATTGAGTTCTTGAAGTTCAAATAGTATTTACTTATGCATTCGTTATTTCTTGCTTTAGTTTCCAGTCCTATTTCCTCTTCCCATCAGTTCACGCAGGGAAAGGTGTGTTTGGACTGCAACAGCCTAATTGATAGAGACTGCTTGCAATAGCACTCTTCCCTGAGCCCTGTGGGTGCTACGATAATACCTGCCGTATGAAGAGTTTTGATATTTTAAAAACAAACAAAAAGCAGTTACTTATGTGGAGATCTAGATTTTTGGGAGCAGTCTCAATAAGTGTGCCCATGTAAAATTTCAAATCAGATATATTCTTAATGTTTTCTAGTCTTTCATATTTAGAAGGGAAACAAGGGATTAAAAGTATTCAGCTTCTGCCTGATATGATGAAGCTGTGTTTCATTATGTGTCTAATTTTTAGTATGAATGAAATAATCAGTGTTAGTATGTACATTTAGTGAGCCTGTTTGACAGCTCCTGCTAAAAGTAGTACTTAAAAATGATGCTTTTTGTTGTTCAAATATTTCAGCATTCAGGTAGAGGAATTGATGTGAGGAGAAGAAAAATATGGGACATATATGGACCAGAAACTCATTTAGAGGTATTATGCAAATGTATGTCAATCTTATTGATTTGTAACTTTATTCATTTGTTCATTGCTTCAGGTTGTATTGATGTACATATAATTAAACGTACTGGCTTATAGACAGTTGTTTAAAATGATCTGTGGGTTTGGTATGATGCCACCCATATGTCCTGCGGGACTATAAAGTAAGTTGTGAAGGGGATTATTGGAACAGTGCTATATCATAATGTGCATATTTGCAACTTACTTATTTTTCAGCAGAGAAGACTAGCATGATTTCCTACTGCATGTACAGTCATGCACACTACAGAACAATATTTTATTTTACTGGAAGATCAATATCAAGCAGCTTTATTTGCACCACTGTACCTCATAAAAGATACTAGTATTCGAAATTACAAGTAGTTTATTCTTGAAAGTCATTCAGACCTTCTAGTGCTATGTGCTGTTTTGGGGACAAAATTGGTGTTGAACCTCAAAGGAGTCAATCCTCTGCTATACTGGCCTTGTGGTAAGTGCAGTAACAGCCTTCCAAAAAAATGAACAGGAAAATGAGTCTGAAAGAGGGATTATATTTCAAGTTCCACATAAGCATTTTTGTGAGAACAGGAACAATTCGAGCACATGAGCATTCACTTTAATTCCAGCTGTTCTTGGTCTGATACCTGTTAAAGTGTGGTACTGAGGAACAGTTGCCCTTTGGAGGTGTTTCTAAGACTACTAAAATTTCTCTCAGTTCTCTCAGAAATTGTCAGCTTCCAATATATTAAAGAAAATTTCCACTTGTAGTTATTCTCTAGCAGTTTTGATTAAAAGCTAATTCAACATATCTTTGAATTCTGACAACTTACGTTAAATCAACAAAAGAGCAGCAGTTTTCACAGACAGGTGGTAGAGCTTTCACAGTTGTGTGCAGCCTTCTCTTTGCCACCCTGCCATTTTGGGTACAGATTGCCAAAACTGCCAGGTTTCTTTGCTGCAGTCTGCAACCAGATCTCACTGAAAAGCTTGATGAAACAATCCAAAACATCAAACTGTGGTGCCTCTTCGTTCCATAACACAGAAAGATGCTCCTTTTTGTGTTTTGGAAATCTTTTAATTTTGTACGTTGACTTCATTCAGCATGAGTGAACAAAATAGAAAAGGATAGGTTTTATTCATCTTTTTTAAAAGAAAAAAAATCACAGAGAACACTTGAAAAAGCCAGATAGAAACAATAAAAATATCCAGAACATGTATATAAGGAAAGGACTAATTTATGTGGGAAGGAGTTGGATAATGAACATGAAGGGTGAAATGATTCTGCAAGGCTGCTGTGGCTACAGGAGAAAGCACTTGCTCATAGCCTTTTGTTTCCTCAAAGCTAATTTTATTTTGATCTTTACTTAAAGCATGGGTTGCAGGTTGAATGTTGCCATCTGTGACAGTGCCAATACTAACAATACAAATGAATGTAGCAGGTGGTACTCTGCATAGCCAAACTGCTGTCAGATGTGTTGAATACAAATTTGATTATGGATGACTGTCAAAATGTGGAATATGGCACTGATAATTCATGCTATGCCTCAATTGAGTGATCAAAACTTAATTGTAATTTAGGATTAACTTGTTTAATCAACCACAAGAAAACACTTGTCAGACACTTGGTTTAACATCTGTTAATCTGCCAAAAAGACATTTGTTACATACATTATATAGAAGTGTGTGTGTGTGTGTGTGTGTATATCTAAAAATAGTCAGGGATACAGTATTTGAAGTGAGCAATGATCCACCATACTGAAACTTTAAACACCGAACACAGCGCTTTTTGAAGAGGGGACTTGAGATGTAATAGACAGTCTGAGGCTTCTGAAATTCCTCAGTAAATGTTGGGTTTTTTAAATCCTATACAGATACTATTGCATATACATGTGAATTTTGACCTCATAAAACATGTGTTTTATATATAAAATGAGAGTATGGGGGTTATTTTCAACGCTTTTCCTAAAGGTCCATGGAGAATAAAATTTAGAACTTTTTTCAGATCTATCCAATTACTATTTTGAAATTCAGATGTTTTTAGAAGAGTATGTAGTTCTATAGTATTAACATCTTTTAAGTACTGTATTTGCTGACCTTAGTTCTAGGTAAGAAAACGTGTGTGAGAAAAACAAACATTAAAGGCATTGTAGAACTTTTAAAATTTAATGTGTATGAAGAATTCATATTGGTTTTGGGTCTATCATGGTAGGATATTCTTGACACTAGTAACTATTCTGTGAGTCAGTACTGTGGAAGGAAGACTTCTGTGCTGATATTTCCTCAGTCAATATGTATTGTATTTCCACAAGGCAAAATACTGTTCTAAAGACCAGCAAAGAAGCTGCCTTTCTCTAACCTGCTGTTTCCTATTTTTCCTTCTGATTTTGCATGTGCCATAAGGTAGTCTTGACATGATGTGGAACAAGATGGAATGGCAGCATAGACAAGAGGAAGTGTTAAGCTGGATTAGGTTTATTATGTGTGAATGATAGGGTGTGAAGAGTCATGTTCTGTATATTAGGATTTGATTTGGGAAGAGTCTGTGAGAGAGAGGAAGATAGTAGTGAAGCTGTGTTCTGGTTGGTTGCTGAGTGAGTCCCGGGACCTCAAGACATAGCAAATCAAGTGGCTTTCTGACAAATTGAGTCCAGGCATACATGTGACAATAGCAGTAAATGATAATCCAATGTATGATACTTGTTTATAAATATTTAGAGCGCCAGATATCTTAATCAGAATTGTTATTCTACTCTTTGACCAGTATTTTGTGAGTAACTGTTGCTAAATTACTTCTTTGTAGCTATAAAAAATGCCTGCCTGTAGTCATTGAGGAAAACATTGTTGGTGTCTGTGGTTCTCATTCACCTTATATGATTTTATATTATTGCTTAGTGCTTTATTAACAAATAAAATGCATTTAAAGAAATGTGTAATAAAATCCATTTAATGTATTGTTTGGTTTTTTTAGGAATCTACAATCATGCCAGATGACAGTCATCTCTTTCCAAACACAGACTGGCTCATAGGAAACCATTCAGATGAATTAACACCATGGATTCCTGTAATTGCAGCTAGGTATTTGTGTAAGGAGGAATTAAAAAAAAGGAAGACAAACAGCCCAAAACAAACAAATAAGTCAAACCAAAACATAGTTACCTATGTGCGCGCTTGTTGAAAGCTGTCACTTTTGCAGCCACACCTGCTGTCCTTGCAGAACTTGCTGCTTTTGATGCCAATTGATTATTTTTACAAAATGTTTCTCTTCCTGGAGAGAAACACAGATATAGTATTTACTTTCTCATAGAATTCAGTACAGCATTTTGCTTTTGAGTTCAAAAAGCAGAACTGATTTTTATTCTTTAGATGTGAATCTGTTGTTTGGGGTTTTTTTTAAATGAGATTGCTGTTGGTTCTGCCTTTCACTTGAACCATTGTGCTTTTTGCAGCCACCTGCAATAGTTGAGTAACAGGAGATGTAGTCCTGCAAACCAAGTTGACACAGTAACTTGCTATAGCAAATACTTTGTGAAACAGCTTTTTTATTATGCTAATAGATCTTCTGAAAGAGGAACATGTAAATATTATTTCATGAAGCTCTGTCACTTAATAATATTTTCCATTATTGCTTGATCATGATGAGTTATTTGTTAAATTTGTGTGTTCTCTGAAATAACTTTCCATTCAACAGTTTGTTTTATTTCCTGTAGGTCTTCCTATTCATGCTGCTACTTTGTGCTGCCATGTTGCTTCTTTGATTTCCATGGGAAATACAGCCGAAGGCAAAGCAAGAAAACTCAGTACAGAGAATATCTTGATTTTGTTGCCCAAGTGGGATCTGTATGCGGCTTTAATGTGGAAGAGGATTGCCTTAGAATTCCATCAACAAAAAGGGTAATTTTGGGCTGTGTAGAGCTTTTGTCTTTTTTTTTCCTAGCTGTCTGAAGCATATGAATGTTTGTTCATTATTGCTGTTTGTTCACTGGTATTGGTGTAAGATCAGACTATAGTCAGTTGCATTAGTTGTGGAGATATACTCTGAAAAGAGACTAGAAGTACTCATTGCTTTCTTGGGTAATCTTCTGCTCTTAATATCATCAATCCTAAGGACAAGAAAGGATGGAAGTTTCTATGGTTATTTCCTATGCCAACCTATAGGATGGGAAACTTAAAACTCATTTTTTGCCTTATTTTTTCAGCTCCCTATGTTGCTTTTTTGTACTTAATTTTGCTGGTTTTCATGTCCTGTGAAATGTTAATGAGCACTGAGTTTAAATGTGTTTCTCCTTGTAGGTGGATTTAGATGCCTGCATAAGCATGTGTGTAAATATGGGACTCTGTATAAATAGTCATTTACCTGTTTCTCAAAACCAGGTGTGCCTTATTGGAAAAAACAGGACCTATCTACATACAGAACATGCTGTGATTGACAAGCAGATAACAGAGTATATTAATAATCGTCAGAGCTGTGCTGTGGTCACATGTGACAGAAGACTTGAATTTAATCATAAGGATTACTTGGAAGGAGTGTGCAAAGGTGGCGGCTCAGAACTTCCTGAAAATGAGACTGTGGCTGCTGATACAATTTGGATGCCTGGATTTCAACCCAGAGGAAAAGTAGAACGAATCAAAAATTGTGCTTCCCTCCCTCGGGATTTTGTAGATGATGTGGTTCTCAGTGTGGCAAACTTGCTCTTAAATGCAACCCCTCAGAAATCATATTCTGATAAACATCATGGAAATATGAATACCTGGAATCACGGAGGTGAGGTTGTCTTTCCTTTATGTTATCTTTTGCTTTTTTTGGTAGAGGTTGTATCTTTCAATGAATTATCATGTTTGTAAATTTAGTAAGCTAAATAGATTTTAGGAAATAGCAAGAACAACACAGTAGCAGTCGAATGTGCTTTCCCCTCCCACTGTGTTTTATTGCACACTGGGATGCAAATAAGGCATATAAGAATATTTAGAAATCAGTGTGGGTTTTTTCACTTCTGCACTTAAATACTAGGACAGAATCAGGTTTTATTAAAAAAGCAAACCAAAACAAACCTTTTTCGCTCTACATTTATCAAAACAGAACACGCTACATCTGTTTGAGGAGAATGCGAGCTTTCTTTTTTGGAGAGTCATGTAGTAATTAGCTATAATTCTCTAAGAATTCTGTAAGAAGTGCCTTGAAGTGCCATTTGTTTACAACATGATTTGGAATTTTTAGTTTAGTCTTAGGAAGAAAAAGAATAGAAGTTGCTGTTAACTTTATAAGCATTCAGCTAGTTCTCACTAGTACCATCTTTCCATTTTTCTATATGCATCCTTATTATTTCCTTACTGTAGTTTGTCATATGTTATTGTTACAGGAGATCCTTTTAGTCATTTTTTGTTCTATCTAGCTGCAGGCATGTTGTGCTTATTGCAATGAGGGTTATATACTACTGTAACAAAAACAGGGAAAATAAAAAATGTGCCTTACTGTGGAAATTCTGACTTGAGTTCTGTAGAATGAAAGCTGCTATTTTACAGATGATATACATATTAAATATATATATAATGCATGATATTGGGAATACAGAGCTGCTGCAGTACTGGTAGATAATTCATAGATACAGCTCATAATAATTTATATAAAAGTTAAATTTTCATAATATTATATATATATACATTTTTAATAGCTACACCATTATTTATTGCAGAAAGCCTTTCCTTGAAAGAAGTAGCAGAACACTTAAATAAAGAGACTTTAAAAAGGCTAAAGAGTGAATTTGGAGGCCTGCAGACACTACTCAAGAACAATCATCAAGTATTTGAAGGTAAAAAAAAAACCAACCTAGAACTCCTTCTTTATTTGTTTTGTTTTTCTTTAATTATCTCTTTTATCTCCTCTCAGTTAAACTTGTGCAGTTAAATTCAACTTTTTTCTTTAAACTGCTTTCTATACCTTTGTGGAAAACTGAACATTCTTTATGTGCCCATTGCTCCAAGATACTGTTATTAAAACTCTTTTGAATGAGATTGGTAATGCATCTATCAGTAAAGAGTTGTTCTAGACTGACTGTATCTGAAAAGACAACCTTTTAGTTGAGGTGGCTAGTTTAATGCTATTGACTGAGAGAATTTTTAATTTTCCCATAAAGTATTGATGATTTTGGGACTGTCACATGCAGAGCAAGTTCACTAAAGCATTTAACTGAGACTTAGTCTGGCCTTGCCGAGCCCCCCAGTGTAAATGTCAATACAAAACAAAAATAGTCTCCATAAGAACCTGTAACTGTGAGGCTTGATGTGTTTATATAGCCTGTGGTAGCATGGCAGAAAGAACTCAGTAGCAAGTTTCTGTGGTTTTTAGTTTGGCATGGATGCTGTCTGCACATTACCTCTGAAGAAAGACTAGGATTAAGGCCAAATCTTTCTCAGTAATTTACATTGCATGCAAAGTATCTGGGGCTTCAGTAGAGACCATTTGGTTCTTCCCTTCAGTAGCGTGTCACCACAACAAAGGACTTTTACCAGTGGGTGGTCTGGAAGGACCCTGCTCGTGCCAAAGACGACAGAAGAACATGGTTACAGCTCCTTCGTCATCTTTACTCAAGTGTTTTTCTTTTAAAGACGTGGAAAACGGATGCACACACACACTAAAGAAGGGGCTTGAAGTAACTGATTTATGGCAGGTTTTTTTGATAAGGCATTTTGTCCAATACAGGACTGATTTTCTAGAAAAAAAATGCTCAATCGTAAATAGCACTATATCTCCTAAATTTTCTTCACCGTTTGAGAAAGATTTTAAAGCTCTGCTGAATCTATTTCTGGACTGGCTTTGTCCAAGTTCAGATCCATTTGTGTATCACAAGGAAGCCTGGAGGGATGAATTCATCCAGGCCTGAACATGTGATATTAAGCTTTCACTGGACTCATTAACTTTTGAATAGTGATTATCAGAATGGTATCAGTTAACTGTGCCAAGTTAAAATTGTGTGATACAGAAGGTATAATTGAAGGAGAATAAGAAAATACAGCGTAGCGACTTAAAAATGGCAGATTCTTTCCTCTTCATTTTCACTGTTGTTTTAATCCACGTTTTTTCTTTCTCTTACTAATTTCCTTTTATTTGGATTTGTTTACACATTTAAGAAGTTGGCGGAAGTTCACGTGTGTGTGTGTGTGTGTGTGTGTGTGTGCAGGTCATGGTCCTAACACAGCAAATGAATTTAAGAAAAGCCAGTGCTGAATTTTATTAACGAATGATAGTTCACTGTTGATTCACATGAAGGATTAGACTTGTCATCTGTTTGATGAAGTGTATTTTTGGGTCAATGAACCACTGTTTTTGCAAGAGCATTTCTCTGTAGTGAAAGTAGCAGAAGACTCTTACTAGATTTTTGCTGGTAGTCACATTTTAAATGTGGAGTAATAAAGTTCTGAACACAAGGGATTGCAGTTCTTCTTCTTTGTCAGGACTTGCAATCTGAATTCAGGGGATTTTAGTCCAAGTGACTGTTGCTGCTGTATTTAAAACAGACCTCTACAAAGATGATACAAAGGTGCCTCAAACTACTCAGCATCACAGTGAAACATCTCATGGGGAAATCAATCAGTTCTTCTTTAGATTACGTCTATATTATCTTGGTTTGTTGTGCACTTCTTTCTATTTCTGTACAAATGGGACATTTAGTTTTGCCTGAGTGATCCATTTGTAGAATATGTATTTTATTCACAGAATGACACTTCGTGTTTTTTCCAGTACAATTCCCATGGCTGTCTATTAACAGCTGCATTTTCGTTTGTTTTTAAATCTTAGTTCTAAATGGGAGAGTTCATATTCGTGACTGGAGAAAAGAGAAGCCATCAAGGAAAACTAAGCCTGAGGTGAAACGCTGCCTTTCAGCTGAAGCATTTAAAACACGACTATGTTGGTTTTTCATTCATCATCCTGATGGTTGTTCTTTGCCTTCTGAGTCTTGCCCATATGCTCACGGGACTGAGGAGCTAAGGCAGTCTCAGATTATTAAAAAGAAAAAACATCTACAGTAATAAAATGCTGCTACTTATGTTTAAGCTTGTGTACATAACTGAATCTGTGATTGACTTTGGGACCGTGTAGTGCTTGTAGATCTATACAATATGCAGGGTTTTTCCCCATTCCTATGCATCTTATTTTCCAGTGGGTTTACAAGTTCTATATTTTTAATTCTTTAATTTTTTATTAACATGGAAAAGCTATAATGAAGTGTGTGTATACTTTAGGATTTTGTCATGGCTTGTCTAACATGCATTTGTACAAGTAAAAAAGTTTAAAAACTTAATTTCCTATGAAACTCTTCATGATCCTTGGTCAGTTCAAATGTATGTGATGCAGCATTTTCAAACTCTGAAGATTAACTGGTTTGTTCCAAATTTTCTACGAAGATTTATAGTTTCTTATGACTTGCATTGGCTCTTGGGAGTCAGAAATGGGAGAGATTTCACTCTTTCCTGACCTGACAGCTTCCTCTCCATGTTACTAGGAAGTTATACTACATATTATCCTCCTTTTTTTGGTCAGACCTAATCTTCCTTTCCTTCCTTCTTTTTCACACTGGTTCAGAATGAATGGTGGTTTGAAGAATAATTTTTCGGGAAATTATTGCACAAGTATTCGCATGTAGGTGTAGGTTTTTGTGGCTCCATAGGCTATACTGTCCTTTCCTTTTTTTTTTTTTTTTAAATAAGGATTAACAGTAGAAAATTTATTTAATAATATTTGAATGCTTATCAGATAACAAAAGTATGTCTTAGCACCTCAGGCAGGTTATGATTTTCTTTGGTAGACTATTTTTTTCTTTAAAAAGTTTAACTTGGCAGCAATCCTAATTATTACTCAATGACAGTCATGGATCTAATGTCATAATTCATACCTGTCAACTGTGAAGTCCCTGTAAAGTTCAGTACCTGCTATACAAGCTGGCCTAGCTTGTATACTGATTGTGTGGAAACTGCTGGATCTACTGAGACAAGACTTTGATTCCAAATGCTACTGAAGAAAGGACAAGATTTGGAGGAAAAAAAAAAGGTTACTAAAAAAGAAGTGTGGAGGTGAGAGCAGTGACGCAGAAACTGATTGCAGGACAAAGAGGTCTAGGGGTAACAGTGAGTAAGCCATGTGAGAATTCTGTAAGAGCTCAGGGCATCTGAACAACAAAGGAAGGAAATGAAGACAAAGCAGAGGAAAGATGACAGTGCAAACGCTTTTCAAAGCAGTTTCAAAGCCGCGTTTTTCACACCCTAACTTTAAGCTAATAGGTTGTGGTCTATTGCATGCAGAAGCAGCAGGGTCTTAGCTCTACTGACGGTGGGAGCAAAGAATTGACTGAAGTGTTTTGTGTTTCCCCTTTTCCGTTTACGTTTTTCTTCAGTTGCTGGAAGAAGTAACTCTTGCTCAATAACAATAACCTAGAAAATTGCAGCAGCACCTCACTTACGGATCATATGCCACGTTATCTAATGTGCCTGTAGTTATAGCTGCCTCGCCTACTTCTAATAGCAGTGTTGTGTACCATATCCTGAATTTAGCACTAATCAGTGCTGAGTTACAGGCATTATAGAATTTACAGATTTTAAAAAGCAGATGCCCTTCGATTGAATCACATTCTAAGGGACAAGTTGGATGTAGTTCAGTTAAGGTTATTGAACTAAGGGAAAGAATAGTATAAGCCAGGTAAACTGCAACTCCTATGAAGCAGGACAGCACGGTAAGAGAATGCAGTTGATAATGTAGTTATTGTAAGAATCTTGGAAAAATATTTAGCTTGTTGAGCAGACAGTTCAGAAAAGCCATGGAATTGTATAAACTTGCATGTAATCAAGTGATGATGTTGCCTTAGCCTGAGAAGGAGGAGGCCCCTGTAAAATTAAAATAATGCTATCTCCAGATGGAGGCTGTTTCCAGATGGTGCAAAGAACAAAAACAGACTTTCAATTCTTTTCCAGTCATTGGTGACTTTCATAATGATTCCCCTTGGGGTAGGATGTATTTGACTTAAAACAGGTGTTTTCCTGAGTTACAGTTCATCTGTGGAACACCTCCAATGGGCTTGCAAGAAGTCAGGGCTAAGAAGCTGGAAGAAAGTTGTTCATATTTTGGGTTGGTTTTATTTTTTTTTCCTTTTTTCCAATAAATAAGGAATTAAATACCTGCTTGACTCATTGAAGTCACAGATATACATATGATAAGACTAGTAAATTAGCTTTTAAAAGGCTGGGGTTTATTACTTGTGCAATGCTATGATAACTACCTTAGCATGCTCTATTACTGTAGCATGCTGCCTTCTTCAATTTAGACTTTGTTTCTGACCTCAGCAGTGTGCAGATCTATCACAGATGCGTGATGGCTGTTCCCCTTCCCATTTGGCATCACTGCAGGTGGCCAGCCAGCAAATCTGTAATTACAGAACCTTCCCCATTGTTTGGTGAAGTGGTAAGAGAACACTTCTGCATGCAAATGCCAGCTTTATGTAATTCTGTATTTAAATGTGAAGATAACTGCTGAAGGTGTAAAATAGCTCTGCTTAATCTAAATTCCGTGTATTGTTGCTTTCTCGGTGATCCAGTCTTAAAATTGCATTAATACAATGTTCAACTTGGGTAATGGATGAAGAGTTAGACACGATGAAGAGTTAGACACAATACAGAGTTAGAATCAGTTTTGCTATTAATAAAAACTGAATTTCTCCACAAAGGATTCAAGTATGAAGTCCCAATTGTTCAGGTGTCAAGATCATTCTTCTCCTTAGTTTGTTAGCATCATTAACCCATTAGTTAAATTGGCTTTATCTGAAGCCTATTTATAGAGGGAAAATCCTTGCTCTTCTAGATACCTCACAAGACTGAGAGTATAAAGAGAAGTTAAATGTCAAATTGCAATCAGAAATGCTGTGATCTAAAAAATTTGTATTTCTATCTGTAGATCATTAATCTATAGATGGATAAATAAATAAATAAGAACAAAACAAAACAGTGTTTCCGTTTTCCCTTAAACCTTAGTGAAGGACTGAATTTTAGTTTTTCATCAGATCCCTAAAACTGAAAAAATATCACAAGACAATTATTTTACTTATGGAATATCTACAGATAGCTTCAGAACAGTATTTTCTGGCACATTTCAAACCAGGAAAATTTTCTATGTATGTATCATTTAGATTGTCTGTTTACTATATTACTGTCACTTCCGCATGTTATATATTATTATCTCACATTTAGAGCAATTCCGAGAGGAAGTCTAACAGTTTGTCTGACAGCAAATACGGGTCTCTAGGTATGCTCTGTTGTAAAATTGGGCTGCTGCTTATGGGTTTTGGGGCTTGGTTGTTCAGATTCAAAGTTTTAAATTATAATTAACTCTCTATCTTTGGTGATCTCTAGTTTTTTATGAGCTGGAATGTAGCTTTAGATGTATAAAGTAGGCAAGAGTGAGCAGTCAATAGCTTTGCTTAGGGCATCCTAATGGCAAATATTTTGGAATCAACAAAGGTGAAATATAAAATCTGTAACAGTCCTACCTTGTGGCAGCTAAAACAAATATTGAGACAGGTGTCCACTGAAGTGTCTAAATATTAGGCATCAACTGAAGTCAGAAATTGTGCTTTGTTATTGCTGGTAACTTCTCTTTATATAATTGAAAGAGTACTTTCATCTGAAAATTGTAATTACTTGGGAGTTCATGCGGAGTGCAACACCGACACGTCAATACAAGGAACACTTTTCAGCGTCACCTTTTTCTGCTGTTGTGCTGGCCCTGTGAGTAGCATCTTAACATTTTCCTCTGGATGTTGGTGTGTTTCCTCATGTGTAAGCCCATTGCAGCAGCACCGTATGTATGTAGGTTTTGCATGTTGTAATTTTTAGTGAATACTCTTATTTGGGCCCACTGAGTTTATGTGGTTTGTTTGTATTATAACCTAATGTTCATATTTATCAGGTAGAATACATAACTGCTCTAGTGCTTATTTACCGTCTTATCAGTGCTGCTTTAAGCCACTTCTAACTGGGTGCTATTATAGTACTGCCAAATGAAATCTACTTGGCAGTTGCAACCCAGCTCCACTCTTCCCTCTGCAATTTTATTATAACAGGTTTCAGCATCTCTAAATAGGTGAGCATATCTGCGGGTTTCTTTTTTGGCAGGAGCATCATGGCAGATTTTTGTTCAGAGATCAGTGGATCCATCTGCTTCAGTTTCTCGATGATGCACCTCGTGCTTGGCACAAAGCTATGTAAGGGCTCGGCAAATCCTTCCCTTCCCAGGTGTGTGGTGCTGTCTGCCAAAGGGGCAGGCGTTGGCTGCTGAAGTTGCATGAACCTGCCACGGTTTGAAAACACTGTCATTCAAGCTGCCAGTCAGTCTTCTTGTCTGACAGCTACCTTGACACTGTATACAAAATCAAAATTATCTTCTCCCGGAAAGCCTGCTCTGAATTTTGAATACTTTGGTAATTGCTTTGCTGTAGTAGCAATAAGGAAACTTGTCTTTACTGCTAATTGATACTATGAGTGCGGTGTACACAGAGACACAACAGCTGTGAAGTGAGAGTCTCCATTCAATTGTAGGCTTTGTGATAGTAGTTTTTAAATGAGTGAATAAACATAGAACTGAGAGAGGAAAGGAAAAGTGTTTGCCATTTTCTTAGATCAAAATATTGAGACCAGAGAGTTTTCAAGTTGCCTGTCTTTTGCCAGTACATCATGTGCTTTTTGTTTTCTTTGAATGTGTAACCTTCTCAGGGACGATACTTTTACTCTGTAGCACCATGGGGTTTTCACTGGCCTTTGGTGCATCATTAGGAAGTCTATTCAGTACAGGCATTGCTATCCTTATTTCTGTTATGCTCTAGACATAATAATTTTGGACCTTTTTTTGTCTATTTTATTTAATGTTTGTTTTGTCAGATTGTTTCAAAGACTTTAAATCCCATAGTGAACACATCATCTGTTAGCTATAATCTGATAATGCTGTGAACATAAATATTTACCCTTTCCACTGAGTTTAGCTGTCATATTATTTCTTGTATTTGAAATCTAAGTAGATAGGGAATGCTTTCAAGTGAGAGAAGTCTTCTGTTTTGGAAAGCTGTGATGATCAAGTATTTTTGCCCTTCCTTTCTTTGTCGTTTTACTGGGTTGTCTCATAAGTGCTGATCTCACTTTTAACAGTAGAAAAATGCAAAGAAACTTAATCAATGGCCTGTGGAAGTAC